GACCTATGGTCGGCCAAGCGTTTCTCCCGACGGCATGTTTGTTCGTACTCTCACTTTATGGTTCAAGAAATAAGGTCTCAACTTTCGAGCCGTTACGACCACGGCCAATGCACACTTCTCAATATCTGAGTATCTCATCTCTGCCCCCTGCATCACCCTACTTACGTAGTAGATGGGCAATTGCGCTACTCCTTCCTCCCGTAACAATATCGAGCTCACTGCCCTCTCTCCTATAGAAATGTATAGCACCAACTACTCGCCCTGTACGGGTTTGGCCAATAGGGGAAGGTTGGCCAACACCCTTCGCAACTCCTCGAAGGCCCCCTGCGCCTCTTCCGTCCATTGGAATTTTGCACTCTTCTTCAATGTTTTAAACAATGGGCCACTTTTCTCTGCCACCTTCGATATGAAACGACTCAGCCCCGCAATTCGACCAGCTAAGATCTGCACTTCTTTAACATTCGTCAGCGGCTTCATCTCCATTACAGCTCAAACTTTCTCAGGATTCACTTCAATACCTCTCTTGGTCACCAAGTAACCCAAGAACTTTCCTGACCTCACCCCGAAAGAGCACTTAGCAGGATTCAATTTCATCCCATACCTCCGCAATGTTAGGAATGTTTCCCTCAAGTATCGCACATGATCCAACTCCTCCTTCCTTTTCACCAACATATCATCCACATATACCTCCATGTTCCTTCCCAGTTGCTCCTTGAAAATTTTATCGACCAACCATTGATATGTGGCACCCGCATTCTTTAGACCGAACGGCATGACCACGTAACAATAGGTCCCTCGATTTGTTACAAAACTCAACCGCTTCTTGTCTTCCCTTGCCAAGGGAAATTGATGATATCCCTGGGAGGCATCCATCAGGCTCAGCAATTCGCACCCTGCCGTTGAGTCGACCAGCTGGTCGATTCTGGGCAGCGGGTATAGATCCTTTGGGCACGCTTTGTTTAGGTCACAGAAATCAATGCACATCCTCCATTTTCCCTTCGCCTTCGACACCATCACCGTATTTGACAACCATTCAGGGAACTTGATTTCCATGATATGCCCTGCTCCCAATAGCTTCTCGACCTCCTTCTCAATGATTTTGTCCATCTCCGCCCCATGGTGCCTTCTCGATGTTCAGCCGGTGTTCGATCACTTCCGCACTTATCCCCGTCAACTCCTCCGCTGTGTAGGCAAAAATGTCAGCGAACTCCCTAACTAGATCGATAAGCCTCGACCGAATAGGCTCCTCCAAGTCTTTCCCGATTCTGAACTTCCTCTCCTCACATCCCTCGATCATCTGAATCTCCTCCACCTCTCCCCCTGGCTGAATATCCATCTTCTCCTTACCCTTCTCCATTCTCTGTTTATCTTCTTTCGACCTCGACCCACCTGGTCGATTAATCCCCTCCTCCTCTGACTTGGCCTGCCTCTTCGCCAGTTGCTTATTATTGCTCACCGTCGTTTGGTAGCAGCTCCTCGAAGTGAGCTGGTCCCCGGCAATCTCCCCTATGTTTTCGCCCACCAGATATTTAATCGTCATGTGGTACGTGGATACGACTGCCTGGAACGCATTCAAGCTTGTCCGCCCCATAATGATGTTATAAGATGATTCAGCTCCTACGACCACAAACCTCACCATGCGCACCTTCCTCAGCTCTCCCACTCCCAGCGCTACTGGCAAACTCACCTCGCCCATCGGCATCACCTCTTCTCCATTAAAGCCGTAGAGTGCCGTGGTCACCGGTTTCAACTCCGTATTCAACTCCTTGTTAATTTGCACAAAACAGTCATAGAACATCACGTCCATCGAACTCCCGGTATCAATAAACACCCTTTTCACATCGAAGCCTGCAACTTCCGCGTTTATCACCAAAGCATCATTGTGCGGCAGGTCCACCCCCTCGGCATCCTCCGCCTTAAAACTTATCACCGTCATGTAAGCCGTAATCCCCACCTCCTCTCTCTTCCTCTTCACAGCTCGAGCATGCTCCTTCCTGGCCCTATTCGAGTCACCATCCGTTGGCCCACCGGAAATCATGTAAATCGTCCCTCTCTTCATTGGGGCTTCTCCTCCATGCCCTCCCTTATCGCCCTCTCTCCTTGGCTTCTAACCTCGACCATCTCGACCATCTCCGCCATCTCCCTCCTCATCTCTATCACTCCTTTCCTCCGATTCCTCCCTACACCTTCTCCTTCCTTTCCCTTTCACCCTATCGTGATACACGAACTCCTTCAAATGTCCTGCTCGAATCAACCTTTCAATCTCATCCTTCAAATGCCTGCAGTTCTCCGTGGTATGGCTGTAATCTCGACGAAATCGACAATATATAACTGATCTGGGCTGAGTCGGGCCTGTGAACCTTGTCTTCGGCCATGTTACATCCTCGGTCGACATCTTCTGCTCCATAGCCTCGAGCACCTCCGTCAAATCTTTCCTCAAGGGTGTGAAATTGTGATACCTCTGTCTCTCGAATAACAACGGCCTTCCCTGCCACCTGTCATCCCTTTTTTCTCGCTTCGAATCCCGACCTTCCCTCCTGGGTTATATCTTCTTCGACCCACTTCTTTTGGGCGAACTCCTTCTCGGTGACCTCCCTCTTGGTGGGCTTTGCTCCCTCTTTTGCTCTGGTCGAGCTGGCCCTTCCAGCTTCGCGAATTCTACCTCCATTTCTTCCAGATTAAAATACTTCCTGCACCGCTTCAAGACGTCCTCATATGATCGAGCAGGGGTCTTTGCCAGGGAAGTTCGGCAAGGCCCTGCTCGAAGACTTCTTATCAATCCTCCCGCCTTCACGTCATATGAAGCTGAATGCACCTCCAAACATGTCTGGTTATATCGAGCGACATATTTCTTCAATGATTCCTTCTCCCCATGCCTCATCGCCATCAACGTCAAGTACGTTTTCTCATGCGCCACCGCGCTCGAATATTGATTGGTAAGCTTGCTGGCGAAATCCTCAAAGTCTGCAATCGACCCAGAGGGCAACTGGTGAAACCAGTCAAGGGCTCCTCCGCGTAAGGTCAATAGAAACGCCCTGCAACAAACAGAATCAGAATATCAATGTAATACAGCCATATTTTCAAAGGTCCTCACATGCCTCGACGGGTCAGAAGATCCGTCATACACCAAATTGGTCTCCTTGAAATTATTCGGTAAAGGAGCAGCGAGAATCTCCCTCGAAAAGGGATGTCCTCGAGCTCTCCTCTCTGGACTTCCCTCCACCCTGTCCTGCAACTGGTGCAACTGCTCCGCCATCCTCTCCATCGCCCGATTTCTTCCAACTCCTCCCTCTCCATAACTGGACACATCCTCATCTTGGTTCCCGGCCACCGTGGTTGGCGCAGTGGTGGCATGAGATGTGTGACTTGTGACCTGCTGCATCGCCTGCGTCGCCGCGACCGCCGTATCCTCTGCATCTCCTCTCGGGTCATCGTCACCATTTGCTGAACGGGGGCTTGTGCAACTGCCTGTGGTGGCACTCCTCCCTGTGCCATCGCTCCTCCTTGCACCATCGTTGGGTTTGGTGGTGGTGGTGGCATCGCCGCCGCAGCTGCTGCACGAGCCT